ATTAAAATTACGATTGAATTTTTTAAATGATTTTTTAAATTTAAATAATCACGTTCAAACATTATAATATATATTTATTACTGTTTTCTTTTAATTCTTTCTATTTAATATATATTGTCTTCTTAAAATGATAATTATGTGAATCATTACCACAGAATAATGAACAAAGAAACCAAAAATAAAATAAAGTTTGAATTATATCTATTTTAAGACTAGTCATTACTTTGTAATTAATATCTTTTTTAAAAATAACAAAAAATTTGGAATATAAATATTTTTGGACATGCGTTTAAATTGACGGCATTGTTTTCAGATTCTATTATTTATCACAATAATGGTTCTCATACATGAGGAAACATCCCATTGTAAGGAGGAACCGCAAAAGGGTATATTCAAGCATCAGGGTAGTAATAAGAAAAAAAAAAGAATTGAAAAACATTACTATAAGGTTATACTGACTTTACCGTTAAGCCCCTCCCTTCTATCTTTCTTACCACATCATTCTCCCCACTTACCCATGATGTCCCTCGCGCACGATCGCGTTTCCATTACGATCGGTTTCTTCTCTCTTTTCAATCTTTCTCTTTTTCCTTCTTTTATCTTCTTTCCGATTTGCTATTCTATCTTTCTCTTTTTTGTATCAACACTACGTCACCACGCGCTTGAGCCCCTTTCACCTCGTGTCTTCTCTCGATTTCTCAAATAAGCGAAACAATACATAATTCGATTAATAGGGAAGATAAATAATCAAAATTAATCATAAACATGTATAAACATAATCAAATTTAAAAGAAAAATATATAAGCATTAGCATTGAATGAATATTAAAATTTGATAATGTTCTGATTTTTCTTATTAATTTTATTTTAATTCGATATATGTATTTAATATGTATATACATATTACGTGATTAATTAAAATACATTTAACCTCGTTCCATTTATAATTATTTATAATTATTTAATGATATATTATATATTTAAATATTTCAATTATGCAAAAAGTGATTGAAACCAAGTTAAGTACTTTCTTGTTTTTTATTCCTTTTATTAATTTTTATATTAATAATAAGAGGATAATAAATTGGCATGAATAGAAAATTTTTACTAAAAACGCAATATTGTTTGTTCAAACTTGATCTAAAAATCAAGTTTATTGTACAACAATAATGCCTAAAGAACTTTTCAATCAATTTTTTATTATATTTTCTATGAACTTATTAGTAAAAGATTTTGTTTTATATTTTTAATCACTAATTATTATAAATTATCATTATTTTCGTGCATATTTTATAATACAATAATTTTATATTTTCATTTTCAATATTTCTCATTTATAAAAAAATATTTTTTGTATAAAAATATATTGTAAAAATGTAATAAAAAAAGATAAAATACAATAATATTATAAAATTAGTATAAACTATAAATGCTGTATTCGGAATATAATTAAGATTGTGCATCACTAAATTCAAAAGATCATTTGATTCTTCGTACCGAATGAGTACAAATGGCGGCATCTGGACAAGATATTTCGTATTAAACGTCTTGTTGAAAAATACAACTACAGATGAGTGTAACCGTATACACAGGAATCTCTTTGGTTTTTGCATCGTTCAATTCGAGTGCTGAGGTATGCACGAGGCGAATAGCAATGGTGCCGGTAACCGTATTTCAATATCAACGCCAAAACTGTGATTTTTATTTCCTCTATTAATCTAGTATTGAGAATACAGCATATGATGAAAAAAATATGTAAGTGATTAACTTATAATATTTTCTGTTACAATATTGTTATTTTCAATCTTTGAGATTTTATTTATTATAATAAAATTATTATTCTGGAACATTATTATTATTGTATTTATTATTATTCTAGTTTAATTCTTATTACTTAATTATAAATATAATTTCTATTATAAATATTTTATATCAGTTATACATTATTTTTGGTGACATTTTAAAGTAATTCTTAATAACAGAGGTCAATCGTATATTTTGTTGTGCTAATAGGTGATTTATTAATCCAAATACAGGTTTTAGAAGAATGTAAGTATGGCAGAAGGTGGAATAGAACCAAAGCCTAGTGATAATCAAATATCTAAATTACAATTGGAAGTAAATGAATGTCTTGGTAATTGGCTAGTGTATTTACAGGTTTGTATATTTTCAATGATTCTTATGTTAAAATATGCAAAAACAAATTATGTTATTTATTGTAGACGCTCAATGGCCTATGCACAGCGGGTACAAAATTGACTCAATCATTACAAACACTTTTGTCTGCTCACAATACATTAGCACAATGTCGATTAACAGGACAATGTCTTGCTGGTTGGGAAGAGCTTACAAGAGCAACATATATAGCCAGCACTACAGTAAAAAATCACATTATCTCTGCATTAAGAGATCATGAATTACGAGAAAATGAAGGAGAAAAACATGTATGTATAAATATATAAATTTATTTATCTTTATAGAAACAAATCTTAAAATAAAAACTAAAAAAAAATTTTGTTTGATATATTTTTATTGACTAACATATTTTCAGGATATACTTAGAGATAATTTAATGACATTCATAAATTTACAATATCAGTTCTGTGTTGCATGCTGTGAATGTCTAGGTAAGAATTGAAACTGATTTCTAGTCAATATATTTTTATTTTTGGAATTGATTCTTCAAAATAATTCTTCTAGGTGGAATGGCAGAATGCTCCTGTTCTCAGAGTGGTACAGCTGAATGTGATATTGCTTCTCTTCAGCAATGTTTTGAAAGATTGTATAGTTCATCACCATTAGTATCTTCTATGTCAACACAACAATCTGTACAAAATTGTCATAGATCACCTTTACCATATCCTTTATTTCCTCTGCGGGTAATTTTAATTCTTAAAAATTCTTTTTTTATTTATTTATTTCACAACTCTTTTTACATATTTTTTTTTTATAAAAGGTTCAGAGGAGATGGTCCGAAACCGCAGCTGCGGAAATGTCAGGTGAATCATCAGATAATACAATGAGAAGATGGTCTATGCCATGGGATTGTAGAAACATCACAGATTGGCCACGACATGATATTAGATTTCGATTGAGGTTACCTCATCAAGACAGAAGTAGGTCTACTACTCCAGATACAATATGGAAAACATCTGCTATGGCTAGTCAAGATGGCTTACAAGAAGCTATTCAACTATTATCTTGTAAACCAGGTAAGAAGTAAAAATTTATGATAATAACAATTATCATACAATTTGTAGTATATTTATATATATTTTATTTTTTAATATTTATATAGGAGTTAGACCTCTGAATCAATTGCCTGCTTATACAAATCATCATATCCCAGGTGTTACATTAACGACGTGCAATTTTGAATCAAATTATGATTCAACTATTTGGCCAGGATCTCGAAAAGTAGGTACTTCAAGATGTTGGCCTCATGATTCTCATTCAAGTGATCATTCTGATCAATCAGGACAACGAGAAAGTGATCATAGTGCACATAGTGGAGAACATCGAGATTCGGGTACAATTTGATGTATATTAAAATTTATTTGTACATTATTACTGCAATAAATTATTTATTGTACACTGTGTAGAACAAAGTGGAACTAGTGGTAGTCACGGTGACAGCAAAGATAGCATTCATTCACATAGTGATCATAGGGAAATCGAACTCGGTGAGTATATATATTGAATATAATTTACAAAATCAATTACGTTTAACTTTGATTTTTTAGGTACCATAGATGTACTAGCTTCACGTAAAAACAGTTCTTCAACAGACTCTTGCATATCAGCCCATAGTCGTTCAGGTTCCGAGAGCGCTGGTGGTGGGGTAATGCATGATTATTGTTTAAGATAATTACTATTATTATTATTATTATTATTATTATTATTATTATTATTATTATTATTATTATTATTCATAATTTTTATATATTAATTTCAATTTATTTATAGATTATAAAATATTTTTATTATACTATTAACATTAATAATTTCAGGAATCCGCGAGATCTCAATTATATTCGATGTGGAGCGGCAGCGATTTGCCTTTCATTAAATTGCCAGAAAGCAATGAAACGCAAGATGAACATCCACCTGTATAAATATGCTATTGGCAAATCACTTTTATGCTTTTTTTCGAATGCTGTAATTTTTATTATATTTATAAGCACGATGCAATAACGCGCGTTAATAGTGCGTATATGAATTAATCTATGTGATCATTGAATCTACGCGTAAAACGCGGTATTTAATGTTCACTATACAAAGTAGAATTGAATGAGTGTGTTTATAAAATATATTGCGCGATAAGGCGGTATATAATCATTCAAAGAGTGAATTACACTTTAAAATAGAATAATTTATAAAAAAATGATTGTAAATTTTTTATTATCTACGGGAATTTATTTATAAATAATTATTTGATATTGGCTCTGTTTTTTCTAGTCTTTAATAATTTTCAGAAAAAAATTATTCGTTAATATCTTTCCGATGGAATTTTTCCGAATTCCATTCTTAGTTCAATGTGGTAAGTTTTAATGAAATCTACAATTTTCAGTATCAATATTATACTACTATTGTTATTTATATTACATATGACTGCATGAATTGGAAAATAAAAATTGAACATTTTCCTACTCGATCTCACATAGTATCTTTATATCATATACTAATGCAATAATCAAATGCAATATTAAATGATACATAAATTATATTTTTTATGATTTGATTATTCACATGTACACATGAATTAAACGAATCGTTTACGATCATCTAAAATATGTTATTATTTTATATTATGTAAATATAGGCGTCTATAAAATTTATCAAATCGTTTTAAAACGGATAAGGAATCAAAGGAACTTGGACAAAGGTTTTTATCTGAACGATATAATTGACGCATCAAATACACGTCAATGGATTAATAAATGAATTAATGTGTACAACTTGATTCATATGGCACAGAAAAATAAAATATATGACACCACGTACTACTTACATACATACATATTTAACATTTAAAAATAATGACTTATACGTGCTATGCCGTTAAAGTCATATTATAAAACCAGTCAATTCTAAACGCCATTACATTTGTTTGTTTTCTTTACTTAAACTTAAACGCGATATCATTAACTGCGTTAACAATCAATTGTTTCCAACTTCACTGATCATGATTTAAATTATATTTGCTAACAAATGAATCCCTTTTGAAGGGAATTAAGTTCATCATTTATTGTATAATTTTTAAAAAGTTTAAAAAGGATAAAATGGTCAATCAATCATAAAACCACAGTCTTTGCACATAGATATAGTATCGAATTCATGAATATCACGAATAAATGACGGCACTATTTACGATTGAGTTCTTGAAATAATTAACCGTCACCGGGATTGCACTCACCCTAACACAACTTCAACTTCAATACAATCCACTAACGAGAAAACATTACACGAGATCGAAAAGAAAACCAATGATTATTAATCGATGTCATCTTCTGTTAAATCATCTTCATCTTGACCATAATCATCATACTGATCTTTCAAATCATCTTCTTCTTTGTCTATTGGACAATGTATGCATCTCGATTCATTGATTCCATAATTAATACAAGTGTCTCCTATACATTCGCAGCAACCATCGTGGAACCATCTATAACTACTAGCACCCATGCTCTGGCAAGACGCCCGACATTTGTTCCAGGAGTTACATTGAGCCATAAATGCAACGGTGCAGTTAACCGTCATTACGTTTGGTTTCAATGGGTGCACTTCTTCATTGGAAGTTTCTGAAAAAAATATCAATTTTCGTCAGTAATAAAATTTACATAAATATATTATGTAGAATTCAGGAATTTGTCTTTAGAAGTAACACATATCTAATTAAAATTATTTCTTAAATAAACATATATTGACTTAAAATGTCATATTTACAAATAAAATTATAAAGGCACATGGCAATAATTGACAATTAAATAAGTAACATTTTAAAGATAAATTATTGAGTTTCGTGTTAAATTTATTTATAAAAAACGAGAAATTTGAGAAAAATTATAATACATACTCATAGTATATTTATTTTCATGTTTTGGTGTAAATAAAGACATATCAAAATCCACTGGAAACGTGAATGTAAGCCAACGTTCGTGCGGATCCGGTTCTGCGGTTAACGCTTGAAACAGACCTGGCATCGGATCGGTAAAATCCTCCACATGAGACTTCTTGCTCAACGGATTATCTGTAATATTTGGTTTCGGGCACAGATCTATGGAAAATACAATTAATATAAATATAAATCTTTTTATTTTGTAATATTTAGTGAATCATAGAAAATAGAAATGCGAGAACTTACCTACGCACGAACAACATTCATCATAAAGATAACTAAGACAAGAAAAGCATTCCTTGCAGCAGGTACAGGTAACGAGATCGCATTTGCAACTTTGCGTGAGCATACATTTACTCACGACACTAGCACAGATCGCTTCGTTGCAGGCTTTAGAATATTTAGTGATTGCAGCCAGAAATAAGATTCCAATGATTGCCACGATAAGCGTTCTTCTCCAACTCGTCATCGTGTTCTGAACAAACATAACATCAACAGACATTAATATTACACTCGTTCAACTGGTTTCAACGATAGACGAAACTTTTTTCCTTTACGTTCGACATGATCTCGCCACGATCAGACAAAATAAAATACATCGTCCGAGGTCAGACTTCTAAGATAATCATATATATATCGTAAGAACTCGAATATCGAGTTTACGTGTGCCGGGAGAAGGTTATCGAGAGCAATTAAAACAGCCGATAAATTGGCGCCACTTCCTTCTAACGATGTATACAACATATCGCAAGGAGCAAGAACACACGCGTCCGCTATCGAGTCTACGGTAGACAGTGAATCGCATACGTTGATTACGACCATGAAGCTCGATTAAGGTTATTAAGAATATTCATGAACGTGAGTCAGGGATGTCATTAAGAGGGGGGTCATATGCCGAAAGAACAAATTTTTAAATTTCATGTGTTTTTGGAACTCTCTTTGCGAAACAGTGGTTCTCAATCTTTTAATCGCAATTTATAGGGGTTGTGAAATGATTTAATACTGTTAATTTTTAATACTTATTTGTTTTAAAATAATTTTTTAATATCATATTTTATAAGAATATAAAGAAAACATGGTACATCTGTTATTTAATTCAAAGTATTAACTTTTTTCAATTTTTCTTATCTTATAGAGAGATCAAGTTATTTAAATATTACAATAAAAAGCAATTCAAGAAAATTGAAAAATATTATTATAAAATTATTATCATAATCTACGAATATGTATACATTTATTGATTCTGTGTTTAAATTTGTTATTGCATTTTTATTAACTAGTTTTTTAACTTTTAAAAATGACTGTATTCGATGTTCATTATTAAGTACAGAAATATTAATTATAATGCAATGAATTACTTATTAATTATTAAAAGAAATAATAAATAGTACTAAAAATGATATAAAAAATATATATATAAGATTGAAAAGCTGATTTAATACACGATTCTGCAGAGTAGGAAAGAGGAAAGAAATGATTGTAAAGACGCAATGTCCGATAATTCGATGCAAAATGATTTGCACGCGTAATTATAACTTCTGAACGTGTCAATTAAATAGCTATTTATATCTTGCATAATCACATCCTATGATGTTTTTTCTGATGAAAAAAATTCCATTTCAACGACCTGTTACACGTGCATCGATTCGAGAAAAATAGTATTTAATTCGCACAACACATATTGCCGATATTATTATTCCAGTCTCAATACTTCATTTAATTTATTTTTTTTTTGTTTATATTCAAGATATCTCTTGAAGATATTCTTTGACAATTAACAAAGATTGCGTCATCGTTGAATGAAGAAAGAAACGCATCAATATTTTAAACTTGATTTTAAAATTCAATATCTGAATGTAATTCTCTCGTTAGTGATTGCTTGATACGATTGTTTTTAATCGATTAAATCGGAAGAACATTAAAACCTTATTTTTCATTGGATTCCCACTTTTGATGTTTGACAAGTAGGAAGTATAAATAAATATGAAGAAAATATAAAGAATCGATTCATTTGATGATTTCCTTCAGATAATTGTTATTCATTTTTCCTTCATTGTGTAATCTTTCGTTACCTTCGACAAGTGCCACTTCATTAAACTTCTACTTTGTACTCAACTGAATGACCTATTAGAGATTCCAGATAGGCAAGTAAATCATAGACAGATTCTTCGAGAAATTCCATTCGGAAGTTTGTCTATTATGAATTGTTATTTTTAAAAATAAAATATATTATTTACATGCAAATATTCATTATGAATGTTAATTGCCTCTCATTATAATACAATAGTTCATATTATATATATCAAAGATTATTAAACAATTCTAAAATTTTATTTCACAAATAAATTATTCTCAAATGATTTACTTATCAGATATTTTGTTGTTTTAAATAATAATAAAATAAAAAAATAATAAAAAATAAAAAATAATAAATAATAATAATGTAAAAAAATAGATTTTTAAAGAAACAAATTTTAAAATTCAAAAAAATATAGAAAGAAATAAATTTCCTAGAAATAAGAAAATATTAATTATATATAAAATTATAATATTATAAAATTTATATTTTAAATATTTAAATATAATAGTATAATGAATGTTTAAGTATTAATTTTCACATTATAATTAAAAAAATAGTATAATAAGGAATATTTTAAAATCAAAATGCATTCTGGAATTTCACAAGTAAAAAAATTATTAATTTACAAACTTTTATAAAAAATATAAAACTTAAATTATATAAATGTAAATAAAATAATTTTTTATTTTATCGATCTTGTTTATGAATTTTATGAATTTTATGAATGTTTATGAATTTTATTTTAATTTTGTTTTAATTGATATAATATTTTCCAATTTTTTTGTGTTAAATATCTATTGAAATTAATAGTCTTTATCATAATTTTTGGAATTTTTATTTACTTAAGATATATTATAATATATTTTTATAGGATAATAATATTTTTATAATTATAATTTGTTATAATTTATTTTTTTTATAAAAAGATATTTATTCAAAGTAAATTATTAAATATAAAAATATAAAAATATTTATATTAATAATTGATATTTGATATAATTAATTGATATTAATAAATCAATATTTCGATCTAAATAATTTTAATAAAGATGATATTCTGCAATCAATAACTGATTATTGTCTTAACATCTTATCTATCAATGATATTATATAATATTTTGATGTTAATAATATCGTATTTTGATGTTAATAAATATTTTTAAGTTTATAAAAATATTTTAATAAAATACACATTTGAAATATCTTTATTTTATGTATTAATATATAAATAAATATTTATATATTATATAAAATAGTTTATATTATATATTTATATAGTTTATATTATTATATTTATATATTAAATAAAATAGTTTATTAATCATATATAGACATTACATTAATATATTAAGAGATAAAACTATTTTTTAGGTAAGCAAAATCATTTTTTAATTTCGATATTTCATTTTTTAACAAAACATGATTAATAGTATATTTGCAAAAATAGAATGCAACGCAATATTTTTCAACAATCTTTCATGCATTTACTTATTAAATCTAAAAAAAAAGAAAGTATTTAGAATTTATTAATCTTTAAAAAATGAAAAAAGAAATCTAAACAAAATAAGAATATTGAAATAATAGTTTTGTTCAATTGCAAATACAATTGATAAATCGTGGAGAAAAACGACTGCAAATTTTTATTCGTTGAAGTAGCTAATTGAAATGCCGTGGATGTCCTATGCAACGAAGGAATCACGATGGAGGCGCCGCGCGCATTGCGACTAGAGACTGAACGGTTTTAGAAAAATTCCAACTGTATTGAAATGTAAACGTTCGTCATCCAGGGACAGACGTGCTTACAGCCTCGCCTTGTTCTAGCCCGAGGCAATGGAATAACTTCAATAACAAACGGCAATCGCCTTCATGGAAGGTATCTACCTACGTTCGTATTTGCTATTCGAATTCTCATTTATTCATATATTGTAATTCTAACCTCTATACTATCTACTTAGTTAAAATATCATATCTTTTACTTTTTTATTTTTCAAAATCTATGTATCGAAATATTTTAATATTTTCTATGTGTTCTTTAACTTTTAAGTAATATAAGTAATATAAAATAATTTTTAAATATATGTAAATCTATAATTAAATTATTTTAATTCATTTTTTCTAATAAGAATATCGCGAAAAAACTAATACAAATTTCAAATTTCATAATTCTAAAATCTTTATAAGATTAAAATTTCGTCGTCTTCCAATATGAAGATTTCTATAAATATAAATTTTTTTTAACTTGATTTATTTGTAAGTTATTTATATACGTTATTATTATTAAATTATATTACTATATATGCTTCTATATTCTATTAAATTATGTATGAAAATCTATCTATAATTGATTATTCGATTTTATGTGATTTTATGAAATGGAAGTACTTGCAAATAAATTCTAAAATCTTATTGTGACTTATTTTCAAATGATTTATTTATCAATCTTTGATTATTTTAAATAATAATAAGAAATAAACAATAATAAATTTCTTCGTATAAAAGATATTAATATATTGATGGACGATTTTTGAAAGATTTAAATATGTAAGTAAACATAAAAGTTGATATGTGCAAAAATATGGATTCTGACTTATTTATTAAATCATAAAGATTTTAATTTTGCAATAAATCAAGCAAAATAGAGATAGAACATAACAAAAAAAAAGGCCAATTATAATTTATTTCAATATTTATTGAATTAATTATTATTAGTGATAATTAATAAATATATACTAAACTAATAGTTTTTTAAAGTTGAAATTGTATTACAATGGATATATTGAACAATGTAATTGATTTATTAATAACTTTATTATTATTTATCGTAAAGCAAAGTAATTTTGATCAAATAATATCAGATATGTGTAATATTCTTATATACAAATTTTTTTTTTTTTTATATAATAATTGTGAATGTAATAATTTTTCAGTTATCGTATTCCAAAGTCAAAGTGTCACTTTCGACCCCACACTCCTCTATACACTTCAATGTATCGTACTTGGAGAATACAAAAAAGTGCATTCCTTTCTAGAAATACTCATGCAGTTTGAATCAATTGTTGACGCATCCGTATGCCGTTCATCGTTTCTTATTGGACATGCGTTTTTCGCGGCACCGACAACAAAACACCAGACAAGTAATGAAAAAAGATGACGAAAGAAAAGTTTTTGCATTTCACTACATGTACAACAATCTCGATGTAAATTTATCAAAAATTTAAAGAAAAAAGAATGTAAAATTAGACACAGTAAAATCGCGTTAAAATTTTCAAATTCGGGAGGTTTCATCTTATGAAAAATTTTAAATAAAAAAAATAGGATTGGACATTTGACAATGAAATTTTTATTTTACTTTTTATTTGCTTTATTTTAAATAATATTACTTGAATAATAGTGTATTTAAAAATTAGATTATTTTAATATTTACTATTTTATTTGATAGTCTGATGTTTTTCTGTCATATTAAGTAATTTATTTCTGTGATTTTTTTTGGTAATTTTTCTATATGAAATTTCTTAAAATCATTTTCTTTTTTTTATTTTTTTATAGATACGCATTTCTTGATTTATTAAAATTTGTTAAAATTTTGTTTATTAATATATCTGTATTAATATATATTATATATTATAATTTTTATTATTTGTTATATTTTATTTCTTATTATTATTTGAAATAATCAAAGATTCAATCTATGAAATATTTGAAAAAAGTTTATTTTTTAAATAAGATTTTGAAAATTATTCGCAAATATTTTTTATTTTTATCATTTTTATTTCAATTATTATAGCTATTTCTTCTTTTTATATTTTATTTTCATTTCAAATAAAACGTATCCAATCCTGATTTGTTTCAATGTGAGAAAGAATTATACGGAAACTTATAACGCAATTAATTATCATTTCATTCTAAACGCCAGTCTCTTTGTATCCATGATTTTAACCTGTCGTTTCTTCCTCGTTCTAAGAAACGATAGAAAAGGGGGACTCGATCGATCGTGAAATGGCCGACTATAAATGCGTGCACGCGGCCAAGATAAACGTTTCGCAAGAATCCGATATCGCATGCCAACGAAATATACCAGATTTGCACAAAATCAACTATCTCTCTAACTATATAGAATGCTAAAAGCGCAGTAGAATTGACTCGATAACGTTGCGATGTATTAGACGTTTACAATAATGATTTGAATCGCAATTACTGCGAATAGATCTATAGTGCGAATCTCTACGGTAAGGCACGATAAATAAAAAAGGCGTGATTCCAATCGAATCTCCTTCTCCGTTCTTCATCGCAAAAAAAGATCGATTAAAACCGGGATTCGCCGGTATGTGTTTACCTGACAATCCTGAAATGTATTCCAATGAGCGAACGGTGGGTAGAGCGGTAACCTATGCACGGGTAACTATTTTAAGCACGCGCAACCGGTTCGCGTTGCGACTGGTACGAAACATGTTCTCTCCGTCAAGCGTATCCTTCTAAACGTAGAAAAACAAACTGTTTTTCTTTAACACAATAAGAAACACGTTCGATCTTTTGCGTATAATCCTCTCTGTCTCTATAATAATCGGCACGATCTATCGATCCATTCGAACAGATCCACTCTTGTTCGCACTAGCTGACACTTTCTCTGAGCACGATATTCGTTCGTGTATTCGCGCGGACCGACCGGTTTGTTAAATTCCGATCTTGAAATCGATGTGTCGCGAGACTCGAGGCAAGTTGGCACACAACTACTTGGCGAATTGTACGACTCGACCAAAGGATGGTGAAGGAGAAAAAGTATCCTGAAAGATCGAGACGAACCGAGTATCTATGACGGGTGCGACGAATCGAAGAGCGACTCTCATTGGACTGAATTAAGGAAGGACGTGGACCGAGAGAAACGGAGAAGCGGAAAGGGAAAGAGGTGTAGGAGGAGGAGGAGGAAAAGGAGGTGTTGGCGATGGTAGCCAAGCGAGTTGGTAGTGGTGGTGGTGGTGCTGCAGCCGCTGTTACCGTAAAGTCGTTGCCGAACACAGTGGTGGTGGTGGTTGCTGATAGCGATGGTGGTGGAAAAGGAGAAGAGAGCGAGTCCGCAGTCTGCTAGACTCCGAAGAACTACCTTCCTGACTGAGAGACTGGTTTTCAATTTTTTCCTCACTTTTTGTTTTACCTGTTCCATTGCTTCTCTCTATCTTTTCTCTCTCGCTTTCAGTCCCCTCTTTCTCTTATCTTCTTCCCCTCTACTTTCTTTTATCTTCCTTCTTCCTCCTGATGATCTCCTACTTTTTTCAGTATTTATTCGTTATGTGCTCGGCTACTTCTTGCGGATATATGATACCATTCGAGGATATCTTTCTTAGACTCAGTGAAGCGAGTAATTCACGAAATCGATATACCACATATTTTTTCAAATGATTGGAGTTTTAAGCTTTCTTCGTCTTTTTCCTAGCTGTCATTTTTCAAGGTTGTCATTGTCAAAAACAAAGATGAAATTAAACTCGAATTTTCTATATTTTGCAGATGTATATGGTATATAGTGTATTTGCGACTAATCTTGAGCAATGAATTTATAATGAATAAATTTTAGTGTTTGTTTTTTTAGTTTTCTTTTCCGTTCTATTCTTCTGTATTTTGCGATCGTACTTTACTGTGCGAAAATTTTATTGTAACATTGATAAATGGAAGTATAGTCGTTATTTGTCAATGTTGATAATTATCAGCAAATTCAGAAACTATGATATCTCTAAAAAAAAAGCATCTGAGCGTGGAGAAAATGAATGAAAATCGATTCGATCTGTGCCTTTCAATCTCCTTAACGGAAGTAATTCCTCATAGAAAGTGCAACTTCTTATCCTCTGTTTCTGATTCTTTAAAGATAAACTAAATACTTATTTACAAGCCAACTGTTAGTCAGTAGTTTGTTGTATTTTTAAAATTTTAAAAATGTTCGAAATTTTTGTTTTCCATCATTTCTCGTTTATTATTACTGCTATTGTAGTTTCATTTGTAAATCGAATTCTATATCATTTAATTGTAACAATTTTTAATTTTTTTTTAGAGGAAAAATAAATAATATATATCATTTTTAAAGATAAATTAATAAAATTAATATTTTTAAATAATTTTTTTATTTCTTTTTTTTTAATTCTTTATTAATTTCTTTATATAAATATTGTTTGTTTATAAAAAAATTTAATAATTCAATAATACTCAAAATTTTTGATATTAAATTTCTAATTTATTTTCTAGTTATCTAATAATAAAATTTTATAGTAATTTGTAAATTACTCTTTTGATAATTAAATTTTAATTTCGAAGTAAGTTCGATGTGTCAAATATGTCAAATAACATCGATTCAATTGATTCTAAAAATTTTAATGCGAAAATAATAAATTTCTTAAAGTTTTAATGGGAAAATAATAAATTCTAAGTGCTTGAGTATTAACATAAATGTTAAATTAGATTTCCGAAAAAAGAAATGCAAATTTCATTCAACAAGGGAAAAAAAAAACTTGAGTCAATAGAAGAAGTTGAAACAGTGGAAAAAATTAACGTTAATACAAATGAATATTCGATTTGAAACTATGTATGTTTCGATTGAATCAAAAAATGATTATTAATTTATTGACCGATTCATGGAAGGACTCGTTATCTGGTTGTCTTTAAGAACGATCACTATTACGAGAGATATGAGTCCGTCGTGCAACCTCTCATTTCCCTCCTACTGCAATCAACGGCATTTAAGCTTGCGTTTCGAGCGTTTAAGTATTTAGTTGCTTCCGTCATACCTCCATGTACTGAGAATTTTTTCGCACTCTGGGATTTTTAATCTGGTTTTCGGCAAGAAAGGACACTCACGAAATTGTATTTTATGTTCGACATAGAGCTTGCTCTTATTAATCCATTAAGATCAAATAATGAAATAATTTTTACATGTATTGATATAATTATATATATATAAATAATAATGTATTGATATAATCATATCATAAATAATTATTTATATATGATTATTATCAAAATATATATATAAGAATAAATATAATTATTATCATTTATTAAGATATATAGGAATAAATAATATATGTAATAAATAATATATAGAAATATAAATTCTTAGAATGTTTTTAGAATATATTAAACATAGAGCATTTTAAAACATATTGTAAAACATTTTACTTAATTTATTATGCATCATTAAATATCAAATGAAATATAATTTTATTTCAATGTTCTTTTTTATTATAATTATTATTAAACATACATGTAAGAACGTTAGATAAGAGAATAAATATATTACATCATGCTACAACTATAAATTTAAAAGAGTTATATTATTAGAATATTCTACATATATATATTGATTACATTGTGCGCAAGTTAGCGATTTTCTATCTTTATTTCTTGCATAAAAGAAACACAATTTAGTTAACTCGATATTATTAGATTCAAGTTCTCTATTTTTTTTTCACTTAATTCAATAAAAAAATAACTAAGACTTAAATTCTTTTAAATCCTGCATTAAAAATGAATGTAACAGATAATAAAGAGGAATTATATAAAAATTTATTTTAATTTGAAATTATAATCAAAATATCTAGGCTATGTACCTATATCCTATTTGTATTATGAAGATTAAATAAATATTCCATCATATAAAATAGAAGCAAATATTTTTACAATTTAATAAAATTCATTATAATTTTGAAATTTTAGAATTTCATAATATTATTAATTTTAATTGAACTTTGAATTGAATTTAACTTAGAAAAGATAATGGGAAAAAAATTAAATATTATCATGAAACATATATATATATATATATATGGGTATAAGAGAAAATTAATTAAAATATTATCTATAAGACATATTTAAAAATCATCGAAATCGGAGAGAAAATAAGTTTTCAACAACTTTATAAAATGTAGCATTGATGCAATATTGGATCTTAAAGGATTAAGAAAATACATTTTTTTTTTTCAAAAAAATATACCTCTCTTTCAAAATGATAAAATCAATTTTTTCAATAATAAAATTAAAAAAAAACATGATATCAAAACTATATACTTTAATAAGAGAGACATCAACGCTCACATAGGAGAGATGCATTAGAAAGAAGAAAATTCAACGTTAAAATTGATTTCATCTTTTTACATTATCAGAATACAATTAGTTAGATTAGATTAGCTTAAAGAATGAATGAGCTATGAAATTAAATATTATAAAATGCTATGAAAGAAAGATGTAAATATGATATAAGATTGGTTCATGAATGTTCGCGTGACTCTGAAGATGTTTTCTCAAAAGTGGAAAAGAGACAAAATTGAATAGATAAAATGGGAGAAAATATGGGAGAAAAGGATACATCAGGTATACGAAGATCGTTAGCTCGAAGAAAAATTAGCCGTTTGTCCAAGTTCCATTCGAAGATGGGTCAATCAGATATGAAAACACTTGTCGGATAGGCATTGTTCCAAGGTAACAGGTCTACGAAGGATCGTAGACACAGGTATACTTTTGTCCTAATGACTGCTCGAGGAATTTAAAGATTCACGGTTTCTTCGAATGTTCGACGGGGTGGTCACAATCATTCACATGCTGTACTGCTGCCATCTTCCTTTTGAAAGCCGCGCATGAAATCAGGATTATGTATTATGACATTTTTGGCAGTTATCTTTATCCTGTGTTTTTTTTTTGACAGGAATAAATTTTATAGTTTGCGTTCTCTAATAAATTATTTTGATTTTTTATATGATTAAAATAAAAGGAGAAAATAATAATATGAAACTCGTTAGCGAATTGAAATACAATAAAAATAATATTGTATTATAGCTGTTATGTATCATAACTTTTTTTTATAAATAATTGTTTTATATATAACAATACTGAATATTATTATCTATAATAAATATTTATTGAATATATATTATATGTATATATTATATGTATACATTTCATTGTATTTTTTGCATATTTGATTATTAAAAATTAATTAAAAATTTTTGTTTTTAAAATAATGTTTCTTCCTTTTCTTTTTTTAAAAATTTTCTATTCTAAAAAATAATAATACTATCTTTTTTTATGTTTTTATTTCTTATAAATAAATATTCATCTTGATTTTATTTTTATAATTTTAAAATTTAACCTATAAAGTTCTTTTAAGCGAATAACTATTTATAACTAGGGTAATAATTACAATTAGTTTGAAGAAAGTAAATCCATCATTATTGGTCGATGGTATTGACTTTTGATTTATTATAATTTATTACTTTATTATTTTATTATATATCACACAGGATTCGGGGCGTGGTCATAATCTATAGTATTGCAGTGTGTGCGTGCATTGGATCCTTTCACTGCCCGTTTAAACTGTTCCCACTTGCCAAGGTAAAACTGCAAACATCTATTTCATAACAAATTTGGCATTGATAGTGATAATGGCATTTTATGACACATTAAAATTAATCATCATTTAACATAAAAAATTAAATTTATTTTAAAAAATTAAAATAAATAGATATTCATATATAAATCATATGATTACATTATACATTTAAAATAACTTAATATAATTAATTTTTATTTATTTTTAATCATAAATTTAAATCTTTGAATTTATTTTTGTTTTATAATATTATTCTTCTTGTTAAATAAGAAATATAAATATATATGTGTATATATTATAAAATAGAATTAATTCATATTCTATCTAACAAACTAATCTTGAAGATTACTAGTAATTTGAAAATAATAGAAGTTTTTTTTTTATTTTTATCTTAACAATCTTGATAAATATATATACTTAATTAATGTAATAATTTAAGAAAGATTACTAGTAAAAATAATTTCTGTCGATAAAATTAAAAAAAAAATTTCTTATAGCAAAATAAATTTTTGTTGCCAACTACTGTTTAAGTTATAAATTCCTATAACACTATTGATAATTAAATCATAAATTAAATATGTATATAATATCTAATTCAATAACTCTTCGTTCATGTATTTCTTATCTCTCTTCTTCGTAACTTAATTAAATCAAAGACGTAATAAATCATAATAGATATATTTTATACATAATTTTAGATATATCGTATATAAAGTTAATATATTAATAGTATTTGAAAAATCAATTTTAAAGACCAAAACAAATATAAAAATTAATATACAAAAATGTTTATCGAAATTATTTATTAAAGATTATTTATTAAACTATAATTATAAATTATAAGTAATTTAAATTTATATTAAATGAAAAGATAGATTGATTTCATCTCCTCTTTTTGTTTAATGTAAACTTAAATTGATTATTAATAATTGATTATTAATAAATTGATAATTAAATAAATAATTGACATTTTTGTATATCGCTTTTTGTATTTATTTTAACCTTTAGAACCAAAGTATTTCGCAAATATATTATCATCTTGTATATATATATACACATATTTTACATATTTTATATTTCTTTCTATAAATTTAAAAAGCAACTTAAAAAATTTAAAGAAGTAACTATTTTAGAAAGTAATTTTTTATCAAATTAAATTCTATAATATCTTAAAAAAAAATGTTTTCTTAATAAGTAGTTCCTAAAATATTTAATTTATTTTATTCTATATTTTATTCTATATTTATATTATATTTATATTATATTTTATTCTATATTTAATTTACTAAAAATATAAAACAAAGAAATAAATAAGATAAATATATTTCTCAATTTTTTAAAACTTGGTAAATGATAAAAAAATTTCTGAAAATATGGTAAAAATAAATATATTAGAAAGTATAAATGTTGATAAATATAAAAAAAATGAGCATATTAAATTTATAAAATTTTCATATATATTATCTGTTAGATTATACTCTGTTAATATAAAATTTTAAAATTCGGTTGAAAAATTTTAGCCGATTTCATAAAATTCTAAGTTTCAAAGAAATATGAGAAAAATTTTATATTCCATCTCTTCTTTAAATTATATTTTAAATTTTCTTGTCTTGTAATATTCTTTTGTTTACAAGATTGTAAATTTAAATAAATATTTTGTTCCTTGAAATTTCTATTTTATATTAGAAAAATATAATTTGAAATGCAAAATTTTTTTCTTTTTATTTTAAAATTTTAAAATTAAAAATTTTTAGCCAATTTTTTTATATTATAATATAAAACGATAGAAAATAACATGCGCAAATTTTTTTAGAATTTTAAAACAGAAAATTTTTGATTAATTTTTCAATTAAATTTAATTTCAATCAAATTTTTTTATTACAAGAATATAATTAATTATTACAAGAATATAATTAATAATATATAATAATTTTATTACAAGAATATAATTAATTATTCAAATTAAAACACGAAATTCTTAGAATTTTAAAATATAAAATTTTTCAAATTCTATTATTATATTTACTTACAACATATTTATCATTTGCGAATTTATTTTTCATTGTATTTATCTCTTGCATTTACTATTTTTTTATAGTATTGAATAATTTTTTATAATTTTTTTATTAATTATTAATTATTAATTCTACAGATACTTATCATTTTATATCAATAGCAATTGTTATTTTTACAATATGGTAAAATCATAATATTAATTATATGTATATCAAAATATATATAAACACCACTTATAAATAGAAAAAAAGAATATAATATACATTTATTTACGACATATGAAAATTAGATTGAATTAGACTCTGATTTCAATTTTAATAAGTTAGACAAAAAAAGATAGTAAAGTTAATCAATTTTTTGGAACACATTTTCGCAGAACAAGTATAGGAGAGCAAATAATGAGAGAAGGACAGAGATAGGATAAAAATTGAGGAATCAGCGCCATCTGTAGAGTGTTATAGAAATTAACATAAATAAAGAAAATATAATAAAAGATAAAAATTCACCGTTTACATTATCTTTCGAATATCAAAGATATCTCTTGAAAGACAAGATAAGACAGAGTAAGAATTAGAAATTAACACTACTTTTCAAATATTTTTTAAAAGATGTATTTTGACACTTAAAAAAGGAGCTGCTTCATAAATATATTCTCATCTATTTTTGAGAAAATGTTTTTAATATCTAAAAGATAGCGCTAACGATCAATTCTTATTTTATCTTTATCTTCCTTCTGCTTTCTTTTATGTTAGTTACAATATTCTGCTGAGATGGCATTAATTTTTATTATATTTTTGTCTTTTTCTCTTTATTATCAATAATTATTCATTTTATTTTTGCATAACGATAGAAATATAGGATATAATTAAATATATCATATCTCTTTCAAAACTACAATGTTTTTCTCATTATATACAATCTTTGACGTAAAAAATACAAATATTCTCAATTTTAATTACAATATACTTTTAAAACGATGATCTCATAAAATATAATATATAAAAATATCTTCATAATTAAATATTTTAACATTAGCTCTTTGGTAACATTGAAATACAAACAGATTAGAAAACACAAATTAGAAGAATATTAAATCTAATAAACATAAACATTAAAAATTAATTAATTTTTTTTTAATATGTACTTATTATATGCTAATTAATATTGATTAATTAATATTAATTTAAATAATAATGTTAAAAAATTCGAGGAATTTTATTAACCTAAGTCTCTTTTTTCATTATTATCCCATCAAATAATCTTAGACTTATGATTTAATTGTTTTATAGATTTTATAGATTATTTTAAAATATATGTTTATTTGTTTTAGTATTTCCTATTAAAATAAACGCTAAGAATTTAAAATCAAATTCTGCGTCCTGTTGGTAACGATGCGAATGACAAAAATGAAAATGAGATTCTAGAATCTTAAAAATTCGAGTCACAAAAATACAATGCATGATTAATCTATTTTTATATCTAATCTGTGATATTGTTATGCATTGTTTGTTGCATTACTCTATACTAAATTAATAATATCATTTTTTATTTTATTGTTTCTTTATCATTTATGGATAATTATTATAACCATTTTATCAACGAATAAAAATAAATGATATAACAAGAGTTTGGTTTGAGATATTAAGCTGATACAAAAATATGTTGTATTTATATTATTATTTATAACTTCAATTTCATGTGGTTATAATTTAATTTTAAAGAAAAAATAAACTCAATTTTTAAAAAGTATAATTAATGCTATTTTAAATAAATACATGAAAATATTTTAACAAAGAGCGTGTGAGTATATTTGAAATATAAAATTTAATACTAAAATGTGTAAAAATATTTATATCAAAAAATTTAAGCAATTATATTGGTAAATTGTATCGATATAGTTCTCTTTATTATTTATAATAAAAGATAAATATGTATTATTATAAATAAAATAATATTTATGATACAGAAATTTTTAATAAAAATGAATGTTCAAAAACGAAAAAAAAATTACTTTCATAATCATGGAAATAATAAAAAAAAACGTAAACAATTTAATTTGGAACCAGGTATGAAAGGTTTTTTATGCACATGTAATTTCTCTGAAAAGGAATGTGTACGTGATGCTTATAAAATACTTAATGAATTTGCTGATGAGATTTATGGATTAGATTCTAAAAAGGTAAAAAATAGAATTTAACAATAATATAAGTACATATAAAAATACAAATCTATCAAATTCTTTTTAATTTAAGGATTCTGACAATAAGAATATTAAAGTTTCTGATATAAAAAAAGATGAAACAAAATATAACGATAATGAAGATGACATTTCAGTTGTTTTAAATAAAGAAATTAATGAATTAAAAGCAGAATATTCAAAACCAATAAATGCCAGAAGATTTCAGGTAAATTTTTTACATATATTTTTATTTCTCTTTAAAATTTGAAATGCTTATAATTTTTCTATCAGGTAATTGACACTGGTGTTAAAAATATAATTTTTATAAGGAGTTCTTTGACAAATCCATTAGAATTAGTTACTAAAATTATCACTGAATTATATAATACAAAACAGCAACGTACAAGATATTTGTTAAGATTACTTCCAGTTGAAGTTATTTGTAAAGCAAATATGAATGATATCAAATCAAAAGCAGATGTAATGCTTGAAAAATATTTTGCACAGGAACCAAAAACATTTAGTATTGTATTTAAGTATGTTTTTTGATATATAAATTATTTATAACTTTATTATGTCTTTAACATAAATGTACAGTAATTTAATTTTATTACAGTCGTCATAGTAATAATAATATATATAGAGATGAAATCATTGAAGACTTAGCAGAAATAATAAACAAAAAGAATCCTGGAAATAAGGCAGATCTAAAAAATCCAGAACTTGCTGTAATAGTAGAAATGGTACGTGGTGTTTGTCTTATGTCCGTTGCTCCCAATTATTATAAATTCAAAAAATATAATTTGTTAGAAATATGTAATACAAAAGAACCCATAAAATAGAAAAAGAAAAAAGTAAGATAAAATTTGAAGAAATATGTATTACAGAAGACAAAAATTTAATAAGAGAAATAAATTATGGTAACGAAGATTCAAATAATTGATGTAAATTAAATTAATATTGTTTTATAAATTTATTATTTTAACAAATAAAAATAAAATAATACATTATATTTATTAATGATGTCGTGTATAATTTTCAAACTTTGATTAATGTTATAATTATTTTATGTTATAATTAATTTTATAATTATATATATTTATGTTTTAAATAATTATATATTATTTATGTTTTATGTAAATTAGAAAACCATAATATATAAATATTTATAATATGCAATTAATATATTAATGAATATTTTTATTCTTAAGTTTTTCACTTTTTATGATAAAATCTATATTGAACGAAAATTATTGAAAATAAAGAAAATATTTATAATATTTTAGTTTAAAAATTATGCTTTGAATTGATGTTCAAATATTTTATATTAAAATTATTTTCACAAGGTCCCATGGTGTAATGGTTAGCACTCTGGACTCTGAATCCAGCGATCCGAGTTCAAATCTCGGTGGGACCTTTGGTTTTTTCTTTTTTATATTAATATTTATAATATATTAAATTAAATAATGATTTAAAAAATTACTGCATTTATTTTTTATGCATTAAAAATTCTTATATATTGATTATATTTATTATAAATATTGGAATAAAAATTTGATATAAAAACAATATAAATAATTAAATTAGAAAAACTTATAATTAAATTACATATATATATATTTTTTACAATTAATCAGATTCAAATAAAAATAATATAATTTAATATATGAATATAAGATGCAAAAGCGTTTTAAAAAAGAACACACTTATTGACGCATTTTCAACAATTAAATTCCTTTCTATTTCGTATCTAAAGACATTAGCTTTATGAAGTAATGTTGTAAGTATTTGATATCATTGTTTTAATTGTTACTTAAATAAATATTATATCGATATATTAAATAAATATTATATCGATATATTAAATAAATATTATATCGGTATATTAAATATATATAATTAAAAATAAAATACGAATATGTCAGCCCGAAAAAATGTTCAAACTGGATTTCAACCGGTAAGTTTGGATACAAACTTTTTTATTTATGTAATATATAATATTTAAATCTAACCTATTTTGCATTATAGGATTCCGATGTTTATATTACATATGAAGATCAACAAAAAATTAATAAATTTGCAAGGCAAAATGCTAAAATGGATGACTTAAAAGAAGAATCAAAAATTAAACAAGTATTAATGAATTTAATGTTAATTTGTGTTACTTATAACCTTATTTGGATATGTATAATTTTATATACATATATTGATACATATTTTACAGAATGAATTAAAGAATTTAGAAGATGCATGTGATGAAATATCTCTTTTAGATGAAGATGCAAAAATTCCATATCACATTGGTGAAGTTTTTATTTATGAAGATTTAGAAAGGACACAGGTATAAAATTTAATAATAAAATTTAATAATAATTATTATCATATATATTCTGAAATAATATAAAGTAATATAATATTATATATTTTTCTTTATTTTTGTTTATTTTTCTAGAATTATTTAGACGAAATTAAAGAGAAGAAAAAAAAGGAAATCTCAAATTTGGAAAGTAAATGTATTGATTTAAAAAATGTCATAACTGACTTAAAAACAAAATTATATGCAAAATTTGGTAGCCGTATAAATTTAGAAGCAGAAGAGGATTAATTTAGTCAAATATCCATATAATGCTTTTTATAATATGAAATAAAATTTTTATATTATTATTGCCTCATATATTCTAATGCATATAATATATCTAAGTTTATATACTTCTTGCTCATCATATATATAGAAATCATATATATCCATATGTTAATTAATTGTTATTGTATAATAAACAACTAATAAATTAATTATAATTTTTCATATTATTTCTATCTTTTTAAAATATTAATTTAATATTATAATATACTAATTATTAATTATACTATTTATAACATTCACAACATCTTAAATTAAAAAAAAATATAAATTAATTTTACAAATTACATATTATATTTTCAATCATTATTTATACAAATATCAACATTCATATATTATATTCATTATTATATAAATACATATATTTTATCTAATTATTATCTAATTATCTAATTAAAGATTGTATTTTAACTTCAACATTCTACTGACTTTAAATTTGGATTGTTGCCAAATTGTTTTCATTATGAAATGCTCATGTAACATGACTGAAAAGTTAGCTCAAACATCTAATATTTATATCGATTAAACAGTTAAACTTTGAGTTTTTTTTATAGTTTTTCCTATTATTATATAATGTTTTAATTATGCTATTTATAAATATTTTTATAAATAGTGCTTATAAATATATTAACATTAATATAAAATAATATATTAAAATAATATAATTAATAATATGAAATAAAAGATTTAAAATGCAATAAACATATAAAATATTTGTTTTCTTAAATAATTTAATTTTTTCAAATTTTTGTTCTTTTAAAAGATAAAAATTATGGAAAAATTGAAATAATCTATATATGAAATATAAAAGATAAAAAGTATGTCTGTAATTAATCTATGACTTATTTAATTCAACAAATGATATAAAATCTGATTATATAGTCATACAGTTTCTGCTTCCCTCTATCAACTTACTTGAGATAATTTTAGTTTCACCTTTCAGTTTTACTTTAGCCAGTTACTTAGTTAACTGCAGTTCATTCTTATCTACTATAGAAGAAGTATATGAATAATCAAGTGTTTTTTTAAATTAAAACATTCAATACATTCATTCATTCTTATATAAAAAAAAATTATAAAATATACTTATTATATTTATATTTTATTTATATATTTAATAAAACATTTAAAATATTTTTAAAATAAATTTTTTTATATAATACAATTTTTCCAGAACGATATGGAAATAGCAAAGGAATTAGTATTAAACTTAAAACAAAGTAATTGTTCACATGCAGGATATGGTTTACAAAAAGAATGTGAAGCCCTTCTTGGTCACATTTTACAAAATGTAATAAAGTCTCAATTACCAGAATTAATTTTTGAAGTAAAAAATGAAGAAGATTCCATTCAATTTAGAGAAGAAGGTAATAAATATTTTTCTAATACTATAATTGAATATAAATAATTCATTAGTTATCATAATTAAAAAATATTAGGAAATCAACATTTCGTGATGGGCGATGATAACGAAGCTATAAAATATTATACAATGAGTTTGGCATATGCAAATAATAATGAACTTATGTCATATGCTTATGCCAATCGATCTGCTGCTTTATATAGAAAACAATTGTTTAAAGAATGTTTGATAGATATTGATGCTGCTTTAAATTTTGGATATCCAGAAGAAAAAAGAAAAAAATTAAAAGAAAGAGGAATTAAGGCAATTGAAGAAATTAAAAAAAAATTGAAACTTACAAATAATGATCATATTGATTCAGAAACATTTACAAATATGTGTTTATCACAAAATATAAATAATGAATCCGAAAGATCTTTTACTGTAAAATATAGAAATGGTGAGACAAAACTTTCAGATATAAATAAAAATTTTAACATTAATGACAAGAAAGATACAATGCATAGTTTGAACAAAATTATTAAAAATAATGAAGAAAAACAACCAAGATACTTAGCAGATGAAGGTCCTTTAAAATTAATTTATGGTCCTAGTAAAGAAGCTCCAGCAATCAGTGATGGTATCAGCATTTCTTTTTCTGAAAAATATGGGCGTCATTTAGTAGTTACAAAAGAATTTAAACCAGGAGATATAATTACTATTGAAGATCCATATGCATATGTTATTTACACACAAAGGTATACAATCTGATAATATTAATATATCTATATAAATAAAATCATAAATTACAGATATTATACTCATTGTCATCATTGTTTATCAAGAAGCTATAATTTAATTCCTTGTTTACATTGCCCTGTGGCTCAATACTGTTCAGAAAAATGTAGAATATTAGCTTGGGAAATGGCTCATGATATAGAATGTCCAATTATGGCGTTAATTGGAAACTTACTTCATGTTGATAAGGATAAGATACGAATGCTTACCAAAATTATTAGATTTCTGATCATAGTAACAGCAAAAGGTAAAAATATCAATGAACTGCGTGCTGACATGAAATTAGCTGAATCTAATCCAGGTAAAGAATAGAATTCATATTTTATTGCTAAAATAAAAGAATATAAGATAAAATTTGAATTATAAAAAAGAATAAAAAAATTACAAGAAAAAAAATATTATAATAATATCATAATAACATACGGTTTATTTTTAGATTTTATAAAATATCTTTCTTTTGTAGATAATAGAACTGCAGGATTTACAGATGAAGACATATTGGATAGTACCAGTGCACGATCTGCTTTGAGTCTTGCTACCAATATGACAATGAGACCACTTATTGGAATCAGTGCTTTTGCTTGTATTTCAGCTCTCGCGGCTATCCTTTTAGCCACACAGACTAATTTTTTCTGCAATAAATATGAAGTGAACCAATTAAAAGACATTAACAATTATTCAGACATTATATTTTGTAGCAGCATCATGTTTCGTGCATGTGTTATAATGTCTTCCAATTGTTTTTCAGTAATTTATTTAATACATAATATATAATATAGATTATAAAATATATTTAAAAAATAATTTAACAAGCAATTTAACAAAATAAAGGATAAAAATTATATTAGAACAGTTTTATGTTATAATTAATTTATTTTTTTAGGTGCAACAAGAGCCAGGAATTAAAGTAGGTTCAGGATTATATGTAACGAATAGTTTATATAATCATTCTTGTGCACCAAATACATTTCGTCATTTCGAAGGGCTGACAATGATTACCCGCGCTTTAAAACCATTATATCCTGGAGATCAAATATTCACAAGTTATGGTGCTGCATATGCATATATGACAAGATCTGAAAGAAGAGAAAAAATAATGCAAGACTATTTTTTCGAATGTGATTGTATCGCATGTGAATTTGATTGGCCTATATATGAAAAAATTTTGCAAAATCACATTGGTTCTATTAGTAAAAATAAAGAGCTTGTAGGAAAATTGAAACCTTATAAACAAAGATTGGCGAAAAATATGTACGATATTGATGCAGTAAAGTCGGTTCTTGGTATATTATATAATGAAGTATCCCAGCCATGTGAAGAAATCGTTCATGCAGAACAATACCTGAAGAGTTATTATTTAGGTAAATTTAAGTAAATTTATTATGAATTTGCTTATATTAATTTATATTTATAACTTTGCTTACCTGTGAATATTTAACATTATGCTTTATATTCTGCAAACCACTTTTATTTAAATATTTTCACTTTGAATACTTACTTCTTGCTTATTAATCTAATAAAACTGCTTCCATAGCTTAAATTGTTTTATGAAAATTATATATTAATTGCTTGACTGCAAGGGTATGTAAAAAATTAATATTAAATACTTGAAAATCAGATTCAATTTTATAAATATTATTATTTTCTTGTTTTTAGATCCATAAACATCAATATTAATTAAATTATCAATGAAAGACATAAAATATTCCTAAAAACATTTTATTGAAGTTATACATGATGTTTATCTAATTCCTAAAAAAATGTGCATAGCTTCTTATACACGATACATTTGTGTAAATATCCAAACTAATTAAAAACATGTAACATAGATAATGAAATTCATTAATGAAAAAATTTAAAAATCTATATCATATTTTCAATAATGCAATAGAAAAATTGATATATTATGTATTTTACATCATTTACTGTAAAAATCAAATGCTTTATACTCACATATACAATATATTTTTACATTAAAGCATATGAGGCTTGTAAATTTACCAAAATGAATTTTTGTTAATCTTACTTTATAATATAAACTAATTAAATGTCACATTGTAATCTTATGATATTAATAAAAACTATAAAAGCAATAAAGATAAACATGGCAATTAATTAAAATTATGATAATGAACTTCAAATGTTAATTAATTATTTAATCAAATTGTCAATTACTAAATCAGTATGTTACATATTCAAGTATTTTTTATCAGAAGAAATTATATAATTAATAAAGTTGAATGTATGATTATACATTAAATTTGTTAATATTTAAGGTATATTTAATTCTTGTCTAGTTTTATAATAATAAAAAAGAATAAGTATGGAAGAAATATAGAATTAATAATAAAAAACATTACATTTCTCTAATATTTTGTTTTCTTTATCATTTACATAATATGAAATATATTGAACTAAAATATTTTTTCCTAAGAATGAAAAAATTGAACAAATATCTGTATAAACAAGTATTAGTATACCTACTTTTATAAATCATGTAAATAACGTTTATAGAATTTGTGAATCATTCTACATTTAAAATATATCTTTTTGATACAAATAAAAGCATACTAACACTTTATTAGAAAAATATTCCAATTATTGCAATTGAATGCAATCCAGAATTCTGATTTCTTATCAAATGTTATCATAAAATTGTCATTTCATTAAATCAAGAGTAACTACTTCAGAGTCAGAGATTGTATAAATATGAGAAAAATAAAGGAGATCCAAATCCCCAATTATTCATTATATGATAAATAAAATTGAAATGAATTAAAATCGGCCGATATTCGAAAAAGCAGCGAACAGAGGTGTTGTAGTTGTGGTCGGTTGCCGATCGCCGATGCTTTTGAGTAAATTGCCTTGCAAGAGACTGTCAAGTGCCTTTTGAACTGTTGGATCGTTTAGCAGAGGCGATGGTGAAACTCCCGTAGTAGTAGTAGTAGTAGTAGTGGATGCTGTTGTCGCAGTTGATGCTGCTGGCATAATATGATGTACTCATGAAGTTAGCAGTTGTAATACCAGCAATATATATATTCGAAGTTCGTTCGCTTTGATCACTGGATTGTATAGACGACACAATAACACTACACGCACGAAGAACTCGATCAGAAACCCAAAGCGTACGAAGTTCGTTTATGTTTTTAAATCACTCGTGTTCAATATTTGCATTAAAATTTTACCTGGTATTGTCTAAAAAATTCTTAGACATAATTTGCGGTTTTTTATCAACATCAAATTGCTTCTAAAGTTCTTCATTAATAATTTATGTACGCGATTTAAAATTATATTTTCTTTAGACATGTTCATGAAAGATACATAAACATATCCAAACAGAAAAATAATAGATAGGCGATCTAAAATCCGTAAGATACACCTATACGACCTTCATAAGAATGCAAAAAACTGCAACAGGTCAGTTTCATTACGTAAAAAGCGCGATATGGTTTTTAATGTTCTTTTTGCATAATGAATAAACTAATAATAGTATTTTTAAAGCAAATGAAACTACATATATATTGCAGTAAAAACTCATACTACTGCATTTATAGTACATATATTTTTTTAATTTCTTACCAAAAGAATTTTTATTAATAATATAATTATTTTTTAAAATTACTGGAATGAAAACTGATGATTGATTTTATAAACTTATCTATACTTTTATAAAATGCATATTAAGATAATTTATAAAAAATATTATAATGATAGAAATTTGATATAAAATTACTAATATTAAATCTTTAATATTATGTACATTTTGTTTAAATCTAAATAATAAACTTTCATAAATTTTACCTGTTCCCCAAGTAGCTGGTGGAACGGGTGCTGGTGTTGAAGTTGGAGCTGGTACTGGACTTGGTGCTGGTGCAGATGAAGTTGTTTTATTACTGTTTAAAATATTAAGTATCCTAGATTGTAATTCTGCTTGTTTTGGATCACTGACTGTTATCGTAGTTGTTGTAGTTGGTAAATCTTTTACATCTCCTAATTCAACTTGCACTTGTTCTTCACGTTTAATTTCGAGATATTTTATAACTCGATCATATTGTAATACTGTTAATTGATGATTATCAGCCAGCATATTTAAAAGAACTTGAATAGCATCAGGATGCCGTTCGTTTGCAAAAGGTGTATTCAATGGAACTGATCGTCCACCAGCTTTGTAATTAGCAAAATCGCGCGATATTAAATTAATAGCATCTTCAACCAACATATTTCTATGTTCTATAAGAAAAATGAAGTTATATTAATATAATTCAGGAAAATTTTAATAATATTATTAAAAATCTTTACCTTGAGGTAAACCATGAAGAATATTTAAAGTTAAGGAATGATGTTCTTGATTAATAGGTGTCACTACAACTGCATATAAACATCCACGACTTGCAATATTTCCTAGAACTCTACTTAAGAGGACGTCTTCATTTGGAAATAATAAATCAACTGTTAATCCAATTTTTTTTAACCTCATTTCAATACTCTCAGCATATTCTCTATTTGAAAAAATAAATTTTAAATCATGTTAATAAAAAAAAAAACTAAAATAATTTAATTTTATTTTAGTACTTATAACTTACGTTAAAACTTTGTTAACAACAATGATTTCACAATCATTTTTTTCAGTTGATACATTTGAATATTCATTTGATGTACTTGTATTACTGTATTAAAAAGATATAAAACAAAAATATTAATTTAATAAATAAAAATATAATATTAATATAAAAAAAAAAATTTTGAAAAATATTTTAACTTACTTAAAACTCATGTTCATATCTCTAGAAGTAGAGTTTTTAAAATCTTCATAACGATTATTGCTGTCATTGAATGAATCTCTATTAAAATTATTGCCTCTTAATCTATCTCCTTGTTTATGATCCCAATCTCTACCACTTTTATCATCTAAACGCGGGCCTCTATTAATAGGGCTACGATCTCTGAAGTTATTTCCACCTGAATTATCTCTATTTTTATTTCGATTTTTTCCACCTCTGGTACCTCTTGGTCGACCACTCCCTCCATTATTCATACCTCCCCCACTACCACTTTGATTCTGATTATTTGTATTACGGTTTTGATTTCCACTAGGTCTATTTTGATTTCCAGCTGGTCCAAATTGATTACCACCTCTGCTTTGATTAAATTGATCAGTACCACCTCTATTTGGATTATTTGGATTAAAATTATTTCCTTTAGATTGCATTACATTGTTAAATTGTTCATTCCCATTATTTCGATTTTGATTTCCAAATTGATCATTCATATTATCTCTATTCTGATTTCCATCTGCAAATTGATCATTTCCTCCTCGAATTTGCATATTATTACCTTTTTGATTGTCATTTAATTGTGGATCACAACTAAAATTTTGGTTTGCATTAAAATTTGAATTTCCTCCATAACCCTGATTTCCATTATTAAAAGAATCATTTCCAGCATTAAAATGATTATTGCCAGAATTAAATTGATTATTAGGTCCTCCTAATTGTTTTCCTGCACCTCCACTAGATTGATTATCTTTTTTTGCTGGCCTAACATCTATTTAAAAAATATATAAATAAGAATGTTTAAGAAACATATATAAATAAAATATTATATATATAATATTATTATAATATATTAATATAATATAAATTATTATAATAATAAATAAATAACTGAAACTGAGTTATAGATTAATTATAAAATTACGAATTTCAATATTTTGGATTATTTGTATTTCATAGTAATATTAATCGATTTTGAAATTTTATAAATATAAATTTTATAAATATATATTATTTATTTAGATTTACAAAAAATATTTTAAATTTTTTTATAGATTTAGGTAAAAAAGTTAAAAATCATAATCTTTTTTTTCTTTACAATTCAAATCAATAACAATTTGTTAAAAATTTTTTTTACATATTATTTAGTAAACTAAACTAATTCTAACATCTCAAAAAGATTTAAATAATTTTGTACAATTTTAAAAAAGCTATTTTATTTGATTTTCATTATGAACTACTGTATAAAAATATATTACAAAAATATATTATTAAATATAAAAATATAAATAAAATAAAAATACCTATTCTTCTGCCTTTGAACATTGCACCATCTTCATTTTGAATAGCCTTTTGAGCAGATTGTTCTTCTTCAAATTGAACAAAGCCAAATCCACGATTTATTGAAGAACCAACAACGGTTCCATATTTTGAAAAATGTTCTTCCAATTCAAGTTTAGTCATATCATCAGTTTGTAAGTGACCCACAAATATACGGCTACTTACAGTAGCAGGATCTTTTAAAAGTCTTATATTCATTTTGAAATGATGTATTTATAACAATGTAATTTTTTTTGGAAAAAAATAATTAAAGAATGATAATATCAATTTCACTCTCAATAATAAAAACTGAGGTTATGTTAGAATACTGACATTTATTTCTTCATGTATTTCATTTAAATATATTTCAATCAACATAAGAATAATAATAATGTATATAATGAATTATTTTTGTTCACTTTTTGCTCTATTTCTAATTATAATAAGATAATAATATTGATAAAATAACGTTCGTTTCAAAACAGAATTGTTCAATCAACAATTGAAACATTTCGTACGATGGCGTGCGCATGCTAGATTTATTTAAGTACGTTCTATTTTTGTACTTATGGAAAAACATTAAACCTTCTGTACGTTTTCAATTATTAAATATTGAATATGCTTCCAATCGATGAGTTATACATATAGAAAATCGAACTTTGAAAATGCACCTTAGGATTATATAAAGAGAGACAACTCTCCATTGACAAATTCCTTGTTTCAATAAAAAGTCACAGTACGTTAGTATTATCACATTACTCGTCAAACAGGTATGCATTTATTGATAAACAGATTGAAATATATTTTGTTTTATGAAACAAATCGAATGTTAAATCTGCTTTGGGATTACCACAGACTGACAAAATATTAAAGAAGAAAATATTTTTCAGCGCCATCTTGCCTCGTAATTGTAATTCGTCAGTGCCTGTGAATGGACTTGTCATAAGTGTTTTATATTATTTTGTTTCTTATTTCCGTTAAAATTAGTATATTAAATTTCCAGTCTATATTACGGTAAGTTAAAATGTTCTATAAATTTGTAATTAAATTTAACAGATTGTCATTAACACATAAGTACAAATGGTATAATCCGTAGAATTGGAATACGTGTTTGATTTCATTTCGATAGTATATAATAGTATATAATATATAATAGTTTTTAGATAAGTATTTTAATCGTAATGTGTTTTTTTATTAATTCGTTTCCTCTATTTTATTCTATGTTAACCTATATATGAAACGGATTGAAAAAAATGCAGTATTACAAAGTCACGCCCGAGCATGAGAAAGTATAGATAGTTTCGAAATTGACATATCACGCATTTTCATGGATTAGCCTTGCACCTAAACCAGTGTACGTATATCTATTGTATTAGTTGTATCTAAAAGATAGCCGTAGTATACATATTTCACTTATAAATCTATTGAAAAGATTTAATTTAATATTTGTGTAATATATAATTATCATTTTTATACATTAATATACATATGTGTATTAATATCTGTTGATTTAAAATTTCAAATAATATAAAAAAGAATACACTAATGAGTTTTTTTTATATGCAAGACATACAAGAAATCTTTTACATTTAAATAGAAAAAAAAAAAATGATATATTCAGCTATTATACCAATTGTCTAAAGTTTAATTTATAAGAAATTGTCATTATCATATTAATAAAATTTTAGATGTAATGTTATATTTTTTTTATTTTTGTATTTTATTTCTTACTAATAAGATTTGTTATTATTTGTCTAAATTTATTAAGAAATTATGAGGATAAAAATAGAAATCAATAGTTTCACGGTCATTATTAGACACAATATATATTAACTATCTTAAAGAAACCATATAATGATAATCCTAAGTATATACAATATAAAATTTTTATAATATATATAATTAACTAATTATATTTAAATTTTAAATTTGAATTGAAAAATCATTCTGATATAATTACATAAAATTTTTAAATATATTATTTTTATTTTCTTTTCTGTAGAAATCCATATTGTACATATATGATGATAAGATAAAATATAAATATTTTATCTTAGTAGTATTTAATAGAAGTATTTAATAGAAGATAAAAACTTTCTTCATTTTTCAGTTTATTAACAAGGCTTTTTGAAGAAAAATTTGAATTTCCCATTGTATTAATGTAAGTAATTTTATTTCTTTTCATTATTGCATGCAGCCTATTTTTTTTTTTTTTTTAAGTAGTTTGGTTTAAATTCTTTCTTCCTTTTAATATAAGAATATTCTTCTTTAATTTATACTTTTTAAATTTCTTTTATTAAAAAGCTTGTAAAAATTATTATTAAAAAATAAAGAAATAAAAAGAAAATAATTTTTATCATTAACAAAATATATACTTCATATTTTCAAAATAATTTAATGAATATTACTAATATTGCACAAAAACTGCAACTCTAATTTCTTCAAAAAAGCATGGGTTAATTTAATAAAGAAATGAAAATTTTAGAGTAAATTAAAAAATAATTAAAGAATAGATATAAATAAAACATTAAAGTTTTAGATATAAAATCATGCAAATATAAATTTTTATTTAATTTTAATTAATTTAGAGTAATATTTTTTCATAATTGCATTTGTCTTTAAAGGAATTGAGTAAGTTCATAAATTCTTAATCTTATATTTTTTTCTTCATAAAATTGCTTTTCATAAAATGAAATATTTTAATATGTGGTATAGTATTTTATAAATATAGTAACATTTTTCTCTTGAATATAAAAAGATATTTATTTCCTTTAAAGTAATCTTTTATTATATATATATATTATTATTCTTTTATATTACTATTATAATAATAGCAATGTTAAATATTTATAGAGTAAAATGTTATTATTTTCAATATTTCTGTAACATTTCAGTTATATATATATATATATATATATATATATATATATATATNTATATCTTGTATATAGAACTTTAAAAAAAAACATTTAAAACAGCTAAAAAAAATATATTTTATATATCAACCAATATGAGTTGTGCCTATTTAGTTTATAAGCAATTTTTGAATATGATATTTATATAAAGTACAAAATTTATAATATAATAGTATTATAACATAATAGTATTGTATATTAAACTGTAATATATATCTTTAATTTAGATTCATAAGTTTCTAATATATATTGCATTAGAAAAATAAAGAATGCAGTATTCTGTGCAATATTTATTTGCATAATAATTAATATATCATTGAATATTCACTTAAAATACTTTTAATTTAATTATATTATCATTTGTATATTAAATAAGAACTTATTCATCATACAGGTAAATGTAACAAATATTTCTTATTTATTTATTGTACTATGTAATAGTCTAGGATTTTGTTGTGATTCAAAAAGTGTTTGGGAGTTTTCTATTTGTGGACAAGAAGTAGCTTCATCAACGACCCGAGCCATATTTCATATGCCAACAATGGCTATGCAGAAGGTAAATTTTATTAACTGACCACAGTTAACAAAATAACAATTGTTATAACTTTACTAATCAATTATATTATTAGAAAATGTTCAAAAAATAAATAATGTAGATAAATGTTTTGCAAACTACATTAATAATAATATACAGGGTGTTGATAAAGATTACTTGCTTTCAACCTTAAAAAGAAATAAAAAATAAATTATTATATAAAAAATAAAAAGTTCTGAAAATACATAATCTTATTTAAAGATTTAACATATTTTTATAATTTAAAAGTGTTATATATAATCATATATATAACATCCTGTATATATGAAAAGATATAAAAATTATAGTGTTTAGTAATACAATTTTTGCACATAATTAAAAAAATCATTCATGTTTTATTTTTTGCAAAATTATGTAATAATGATAAGTTCTGCACATTATGCAAGTCAGTATTGCATCAAATTATTTAAAAAAATCATTAATGTTAAATTTATTGTAAAAAACATTTTTAATGTTTAAAAACTTTTTAAAAAGTTTTATAAATGATAAAAATTATGATAATTTTCTTTTAGGAAAGATATTATGATAGTATAAATATTATTTAATATATATGAATATTCATATGTAATGATACTTAAAATGATACTTAGTTGAAATCTTAAGTACATATTATATATTTATAGGCACATCTCAAAAAAATTAATCTGCTTTAGAGCTTTATGTACTTATAAAATATAATTTATCATGTTGCATTATTTTATAGTATTTTGTTTCATATATAATTTGCAAACTATGTAATAATATATCTAAAATAAAAGCATCATTAAAAAGGATTTCTTCACTTTTATGTATCAATCATACTTTTACTTTAGCTACTTTCATTCATCTTACTAACCAAGTAGAAAGTAGTAATAATATGTTAATTTGGTAAAAGTAGAGTAATATTGTAAAATATAATAATTTTCTGTTTTTTTTTTACTAATGCATATTTAGTCGCATGGCTTTGGTATCAAATAATTACCCATATTTATTATCAATTCGATATAAAAAAGACTTTTGATATAATATAATATATAATATATAATATAATAAAGTTTATATATTTTATATTATATTTTTATTATATTGAAAATTTTTAATATATATCATATTTAGCAGATATAAATGTGAATGTATATGATGATAAGTATGGGCTTATAGAAAAAATATGAATATTACTACCTGCTTATAATATATAGTGAAAATCTTTTAGATGAGAAGACAAGGTCAAGACGTTATGCAAGTAAATTTAGCAGGTATTAGGCGAGATATTGTTAATCTTGCCCATAATTATAGCAATGCTCAGGTAATTAAAATAATAGTTTGTTATTGGATGATTATTTATTACTATTATGATATATATATTATAACAAAATTATATATGTAGAAAGCTGTACGTAAAGCCACTAGTAATGATCCTTGGGGTCCAAGCAGTACACTTATGGCAGAAATTGCTGATTTAACATATAATGTTGTGGCTTTCACTGAAATTATGCAAATGTTATGGAAAAGATTAAATGATCATGGCAAAAATTGGCGACATGTATACAAAGCCTTAGTTCTTTTAGAATATCTTATCAAAACAGGCACAGAAAAAGTTGCACAACAATGTAAAGAAAATATTTTTGCCATTCAAACATTAAAAGGTAAATATTTTTATATTTTAGATTTTACTATAATTTTTAAAATTTAATATAAAATATTTATATCCTATATCTATTATCACTATACATATATTTTTTAATTTAGATTTTCTCTTTATTTAGATTTTCAGTATATGGAAGGATCTAAAGATCAAGGAGTTAATGTTAGAGAAAAAGCAAAACAACTTGTGGCCTTATTAAAAGATGATGAAAGATTACGAAATGAAAGAGCTAGAGCATTGAAAGCAAAAGAAAGATTTGCACAATCAGTTAGTGGATTTGGTAGTGATGGATTAGATACTATGTCACCTGTAAGCAGTGATG